GATGCCTTCCACCCCGCAGTCGTGAGTGCATCGGTAACAATGCTCGCTCGCTTACTTCACGCACCATGCAACCACTCACTTCTCTCTACCAAGGTCAAGGAACCGGATTCTCAGGGCTTGAACGCCGCTCTGCTGTGAGCTGCACCGCTCGTGATGCTTGCATGTGCTTGCGCAGCCATGCAGCAGGGGCGGAATTCATCCGCTTCATCAGCAGCGTTCCAAGAGTTAGAATCACGGAACTAACGTGATTCTGTTCGAATCGTCGATGATCATTGAAATGTGAATGTGGATCACCAGTCACTGTGGATGCATGCATGCACGCATGCACCCAGCCAGCCACACCGCGATCCCAGAATTCCGAGAGCTCACTTTCCGATTTCGCAACTCTTCATTGACCGTCATTGGTGCTTGTGGTGGTCAGTCACAGCTAACTCCCACGAAGAGCGTGAGGGGCCGCAAAGCGAGGTCCATTTGTCCGACAAGGCTCGCTCCATGCCTGTGAAACGAATCCTCTGCGGCCGCCGGCGGGTAATGCGGAATTCATAAACCAGGGTCGTTGCGAATCAGGAGCCAGACTGACGTTGAGCCGGTAATTTGTCCTGCATTCAGAGGTCATCATGCGAGGGACAAACCCCTTGCCAGCAGCGATTGGACCATTTCCGCCGTGGTATGCCTTGCACCGCTAGCGATCAGCAGAGTGTGGAGGACTGCAAGGCCGCGGTGACCGGACGCCGGCACATTCAATCAAAGATGGCTTTCTCCTCTGCTCACTTGATCAACCACCACTCTTACTGAGCTAGCTTTCTGCCCTTCTCTGAGAAGCTCAGCCACATTGACATTAAAGTTGAAAGTCATGATGTCCTCTGATTGATGCATCACGTGCCGTCGATTCCAAACTTCTCGGCGTCTGGCCAGCTGGCCCATGCCCCGAATGCGTTTGCCAATCCTCCCGCGTGTTCCACCTTCAAAGCTGTCTCTTTGAGTTTCACACCCGCCACCTCTTTGTAAATGCCGCACGCCGCGTCCGCTATACTCCGACCAGTGAGCAATAGCATGCGTCCATCTGGAGCCAATAGCTCCTTGACCGTCTCTGCTACCTTTCGAGAGGTGACCTGCACATTGCCGAAGCATGACCAGCGGCGTTGTGAGCTTTCAGCATTGGGCGCGCTGAGACCTGCTGACAATAGCCGTAGAAATCAGTACTCACCTCGTTCAGAAATGGAGGATCAACGACGGCGAAGCCGACTTTCCCCTTGAGATGCGCGGGCACTCTCAAGGGCTCTTCGAGGTCGTAGTGGACGAATTCTTCCGCATCGATCAGCTCGAACCTCCGATCGTATTCGAGCAGGTACGTCTGCTTGCGATTGTATGCATGCTGAAAGCCAACGTACGCCGTCGGGGAAGATATGAATACCAGAACATCGCTGCTGGACAAGATAGGAGCCATGAGGTGTGCGAGTCTTGCCGCAAATCCTGCAGAGTACCTGTCAAGACACCGTGTTGGGCAGTGAGTACAGCAGGATTGAAAGGTAGATTCTGGGTGCGCTTGCAGAAAGTGGGACCCCACGATGGCGAGCAAGTTTGATGCCGACTTGCGATGCAATGTCGCTTCGACAGTCTTCAGAAGCGCACACCAGCTCCCGCAAGGATACCGCCAGAAGATAGACGCTGCGTCTGCGAGCTGTACAAGTGGCAGCACGAACTCACCAGAATTGGCTGAGCTGCCAATCTTCCCCAAAGCCCTTGCGGAAATCTTCGACACTCATACGCTCGACCAGCGCGTCGGTCTCATCATTCGTTGTTACCTCAGTTGTGTCCACGCCGTTGATCATGCTTTTCTTTTTCTTCTTTTTCTTCTTTTTCTTCTTGATCGCCCCTTTCGCTTCCGTCGAGCCTGCAGGCTTCGCTATCCTTACAGGCGCAGCATGACTTTCCGACCGCTTGCTCTCCTCTTCCAAGCTCAGATGCGAGATTTTACTTGCCAGCGCTTCTTGTGCAGCAGCTCTTCTCCTAATTTCTGCCCTCTCCTCCAATTGTCTGAACCTTTCTTGCTCCTCCTCTTTCTGCTCTTGGAACTGTCCGAGCAGAGCCAAGGTGTCGCTGGGAAGCTGCAGTGGTGAAGAGGAAGTGGAGGAGACGCTGCGAAGAGATCGAGGTCGTGGCGAAGAGCTGCTGGGAATTTGCACGCTATCCGGCGACTCGTTCATCTCGCTGACAAGGGGGAATGCACCGAACGGCGGGACACTCTGCTGCCAGTCGCTTGCCTCGTGGAGAAGGACCGCTTTCTTGATAAGCCTTCAGGCCTTCTTCGTACGATAGCTTTCAAAGGGCGACTCTGCGCTAGCTCGGGCTCGCTGCGGATGGGAAGATGTTGTTGCGAAGTTTGTAAGGCAAGTCGCAACCGTCAACGGCTCGGTGGATGGCAAGAGTCTTGAGAGTCATGAGTCACAGTCAAGAGTGTGTTTGGAATCAAAGGCGCGTGAGCGGCATCTGCTGGGAGTCGGCCCGCGGGCCTGCGCTCGAGAAGACTTTTCTGTTAAGCGAGTCAACACGTGACTTCTCGCCGCCCGGGCGAGACTCTTTGATTCAAGATTCTGTGATTGCCCACGGACGCGCGATTATTTTTGGGCTTGATTCTTGATTCTTGAATCACATCAACGATAAACAAGATGATGGCCATTTGAAATTCTCACTCGAAAGCTCAAAAGTCGCAAGCCAGACATTGCATGGCTGATATCCTGTGCCATATATGCAATCGTGAATCTAAATGATGAAGGTATCGTCAGCATCTGTACACACTTCTGCATACGAGAGTCTCGGTTCTTGACCTCAAGAATCACGACTTAATCGGCCATGTATGCTTACCTAGCTTAGCTATGAATTGCCCCCATCTCCCGCTGTTGTCCGTGCTTCACGAGTTGCTGTCGCGTGCGCAAGGTTGGTGAGATCGGGCAGCACTTTAATTTCTTCGCGTTGCGCCGCTTAATTCGCGCGTTATTTTACCATCCTTCGTGATTTGCATGGCTGCTGCTGCTTCTGCTGCTGCTGTTGATGGTGATGGTGATGCCGCGGCCATCAGTGCAGGGCATGCCATGCGCGCGTGCGTTGTTTGCAATTATAAGCGCTCCTCGCTTTTTTTTTT